AAACAAACACTTTAGGAGAATGTGAAAGAGAGTCATTCAGTTATTGTAGTTTTCTGCTGATATTTGAAGAGGTGCCTAAATGATTCTGTTGTAGTAGCTGAATGGACAATAGATTCCTACCCCCAGTAACTCCCCAAGGTTTTCCAGAATAGCGCTCAGAACGCTGGCTCAGCTTTTTACAAAAATGGTCATCGTTTCTTTAAATTCAGCCAAAGGACACTAACCTTGGCAGCTGCCTGAATATTAAGCATTCATTTGAAGCTTGCATCAAGAAGATGTAAAATGCATGAATATAGCCAGCTGAGTTGCAATGTGTTCATTTCGCTTTTTAGTTAGGCAGAAACATCTTTGTAGTGTATTGAAAAGAGTGCTACTTACTGTGCCACTGTTGGACTAGGAATTATAATTTTAAAGGAGGCAAGCAGTGGAATGCATCCAAATTTCTTTGTGGTCAGTGATGAACTTGAAGCTCCTGAGTGAGTAGAGCTACTAGCACTGATTAAAGGGCAACCGCGTGTTAGGAACAGGTAAATAAAAAGGAACAAGGGAATAGGTGCTGGAAAACCGTTTATGCTAAAAGTTTGTGTGTGGCAGAGCCTTGATCCTTCAAAAATCTGGCTTAGAAGACTCCTCTGCTGACTATTGGGTTTGGGTGTTTTTTTTTTTTTTTTTTGGCAAGAAGAGCCACTGAAGCAATGTGAGGCGCGCCAGCTGTACTGTCCTGGGGACTCAGCACATCAGTAGACTCATCCTAACTTCATCTAAAGCGGCTTGCCTGCAAAAGGGCATAATATGGCCAGGGCTGAACTGCAGCTCTCCTGGGGGTGAGGGGTGCAGCCCCTCCATCTATAACCCCGTAGCCCTTTCCTGGTCTCCTTTGCCTATTCCCTTCCTCTCCCTTTCCTATTTACACCTGCTGGTGTAAATCCGCTCTCAGAGCAAGCCGTGACGTTTTGGATGAAGTGCCTCAAAGGAGGAAGGGGGGAGGAGGAGGAGGAGGAGGTGGTGGTGCCCCAGGGGCAGGAGTCACCGGGACCCGAGTTACACCGCGCTCTTGTCATTCTTGGTGTTGGACGTGACCTAAAAGTCTCAGGTCCTCTGAGGTTTATTTCTAAAACCTACACTTTGCATGAAGTTTGAATAATAGCTTTCGCTGCTGTTGTGTCAACAGGAGAGACGTGTGAAGAGCTGTTACGAACAGAAAAACGTGGGAATTTCCAATTTACAGCTGGTGGGAGTTGACATGGAAGCTGGAAGCTTGTTTCTGGTCCTGAGCTTTGCAAGCACCCACCCAAGCTAGGACGGGGTTTGGTGCACGGGTTCAAAAGGAGTCTCCCTGCTCAGAGAAACAGGAACTGTTTATTGTTTGCCTGTCACTGCGCGGTTCTGGGCTGTAGAGCAGCAGGTTTGCTTTTTCAGAAGAGGAAAAGCAGTTTCATCTATTCGAATAAAAGCAGCTAAAACAAAGTGACCCTTGAGACGTAATCATAGCTGCTTATTACAGCTGACATCCACTGAGGTTTTTTTTCCCCCCTTTCTTTATTAGTGATTGCTTTATAATTTAAGCTTAAACTAGGAAAACAGGAACTGTAAGTGTGGAGGTGTTCCTGTATCACGATTTGCATACAGCCTGTTTTTTATTTAGTGGGTAGGTGTGTTCAGTGTATGCGAGAGCAATTTAACATGTCAGCAGTTTCCTACCAGCCGCTCTTGCTGACTCACGTGTCTGGTGCAGCTTGGAGCTACCCTCGCTGTGAACGATCCACAATAGGAGGCGCAGGCAGAAAGAGCGTCTGTGCTGATATGTTGTTCAAAGGTTATTTTCAGTTCTCCGGTCACTGCTTTGCTGTGGTTTTCTTCCCCAGTAATATCCAAATGCACTGTCATTTTGGCAGGCGGGTGTTCTGCTGCGCGTAGCACGAAGGAGAAATTCGCCGCACCTCCGCGGCGGTTGTGTTTGAAGTGCGGCTGGTTACTGCGAATGTTCGGCAGGAGTAAACCTCTCTGTTTTGCTTTGTTTTGTTTGCTTTTTGTGAATGGGCTGTTTTATTTACCAAAAAAATCCCCCGGAACGCTGGTCCCGCTTTTCATACGGCAGGTTCAGCGTACGAGCAGGAATTTCCCTAGACAATTACAAGCCGTGCAGTCCCCTACCCGTCACCCCTTTTTACGGCAGAATTCTTCTGCAAAGCCAGCACAGAAATCTGGTTCAAACTCAAAAACCTGATGCAGCTATCTTTAATTTTTCAGAATTTTGCTAGGTCTTAAGAATCTGCTTTTTTTTAATCCTCTGTGCAGCAGTAGCTGTGGCCGTTAGCATGAAAGGATTTTGATCGTTTGCATGAAGAAGAAAACTTGCGCTCTTGTGCAACTGTTTCTTTATTTACAGACTCTCTTCTGATTACTCATAAGGTTCTTAAAATGATGACTGGTGATTTTTAACTGATCTTCTTGTTGTGGTTTTTTTCTTCCTTCATTTTTTTTGTCTGTCTTAATCTATCGCGAAAGCCTTTGCAGAAAGGGAGTGCGTTATTCTCCTGCAGTTTGGGATTTACCGTTGCAGCGCTTACATTCTTACTCCTCTTATGGGGCTTTTCCTCCTTTTTTTTGGAAGAGGGCGAAAAGTAAGCGATCTCTAAAAGTGAGATGAACAAAATCAGCTGGTATAAAACAGGCTTTAATAACAAAAAGGTGAGTTCTTGTCTCTCGTTTTGTTTTTAGTCAACTACTTTGACCAGTAATGAATAGAAAACCACACTGTGAGCTTTGTAACACATGAAGAAAATGGGTGTTCTTGGTTTCTGCCAATACAAGTGACTCATCAGTAGGGTTTCTACTTCTAATAATAAAACTGTGGAAGACCTTTACAACGTGTGGTTTTGGCCCCTACTCTTAGTGAAAGGTTGGAAAATATTACTTTAAGCCTTTTTTTTTTTTTTTAAACTTATGGAAGCGTTAATGATTTACTGTGCAACAGTGAAAGATCTCAAACCCTCCAAAAAAACCCGTAATTGTACTATTGGTGCGGTGCTAAAATCTTCCCCTCTCCCGTTTCCTCAGTGCAGTGAGTGTTGTCGACATTTAGCCTCAGTGTCGAAGATGTGCATCTGGAAAATATAATCTATTTATGTCGAGTGGGGGGAAGAATTGGCACACTACGTCGTCTTGCTGAGCCCTTGTTCTCCGCTTCTATTCCTCTCAGATAAAGAGAGGTTAGTAATATTGCTGCGCGACCTACATTGCTATTTGGGCTAGGGTCATATGATCCCGACAGGAAAGTAAATAGAAAATATGAATTGGAGAATAAATGACAACCGGCAGGATGCGTGAGTTATTACCTAGGAGAAAACAGACGTTTTCCACTACTGAAAGTGATACTGAAAAAAAGGCAAACTGGAAAATGATCTATTAAATTCTTATTTTTTGAGTAATAGCGTTCAAAGCTGCTGGCACCCTTATAGCTGTTTACCTCTGAGGCTGAAGTTCTTCCTAAAGATTATGCTGTGTGTTCTGTAACAGGGCAGCAAAGCAACCCTTAGCACGTACTGCGTTTTGTTTGAGCTTTGGTAACGTGTAGAATACAGGGTTCCTGTGTTTTCAGATAACCAGAGCATGCCCTCCATGCTGTTATAGTATGTCAAATTTTAATTCTTTTATGCAAGGTATTTTATTTGTAATACTAATCCAGTCAGTGTATTCTGATATGCTCCATTAATTGATAAGTGTTGCTGGCTGCTTTCGAGTTTTCTCTGTTGTAAGATTTAAAGATCATAAATGAGTCAGAGCTAATCCTTTCTTCCATG